GTATCCAATAAATAAGTTTTTAAAAATTTTGTTTTTATTCAAAATTTAATAACTGTTTAGTTTATTGTAATATTTTAATATAATTTAATATATTTGAATATATTAAAGCAAATTTTATATTATTGTTATTATTATTTTATTTTTTATTTTTATCATTGTTACTTTTATTTTAGTTATTTGATTTTTATATATTTAATATAACTATTATTATGATATAAATCATATTTTAATAATTATTAAAATATAAAATTATATTAAATAATATTTAAATTTTAAATTAAATTAGATTATTATTAAAATGGTGCAGAGGAACTTTAATAAGAAAGAGAAACAAATAAAAATGTATTTATTAAAGTGTCTTTAATAAGAGAGAGAAGAAAATAAAAATATATTTATTAAAAAATAAAATTTTTTGAAAAGTTGGAGGTGATTTTTGGAGGTGCAGGATGAGATGTTGGAGGTGTAGGATGAAACACTCATGCACACATAATTATTTTCCTAAAAGCCATTCCAACCCAAGCCCATATGAGTTTTGTATCAAAAAACTTGATTCGATGAAATTTTTTCCTGCACCCCATGTTTTCTTTATGCATCTTCATAAGCAAAATGGAAAGATAAAATTAATGTGTAAAATCTACATTTTGGACGGTATAAACTAGAATGTTTAAATTCTGGAACTATAATTTTAGCTGGAGTATGATTGGAATTTTAAAAGTATAGAGTTGCAGGAAGAAATTTCGTTGATTCAATTTAAATCATATTTTTTCTGGTCCAGTCCATTTTATGGGCTTTTGATTTTTAACACCTCTATATATGAGTACATTTTAAATACTATTAATTTCATAGTGAAGTCCAATAAATAAAAATGTGGCGTCTAAGTGAACGATTTTAAAATTAAAATTTTCTAATATTTCTTTCTTATTGGCATTTCACATTCCTGTCAAATTATGACTTCCTAAACTTCAAATAATTTCATTGAAAATTCTTTAACAGTTGAAACCCATTCATTATGAAATGAAAAGAAATTGGTTTAATTCTAAAAAGTTAAAATTAAAAATTTGGTTTTTATACATGCAAATCTTTCCCTGCTCTCAAGAAATAACGATAGTCCCAAAAAAAGGGAAAACAAAATTTAAGATATCAGTGAAGATGAATGAAAATACCGGAAGGGGTAAAAATTCTTGAAATTGCTAATTTGATAAACTAGATCTGAAGGAAATAATTTTCACACATGACGAGAAGGTAATAAAGAGATTGAATTTGTTAGTATAATGTCATAATCATATTTAGATATTTTAAATATGATATTTCATTTGTTTATTTTGTCAGAATCTTACATATTCTAATTTTTTTTATTATGATACATCTTTTGGTCATGTTGAAGAATTTCATTTCATTTTTGCATTATAAAACTATGCCTTTATCATCGACAGCATAATCCAATTAGAGGCTGAGTTGTTAGCCCTTTAACACGACCTAGGAAACAAAATAACTGTTTGTCCATTCCAATAAGCAGAAATCATTTGTGCTCCCTTGCGTCCAAAAAACCTAATGATTAACCTTAAGTGAAAGTTAATATTAAGAACGATTTAGGTCGGATTCGAAATCTATTTAAAAATCTATAAATATAGATGTGAAGAGTTAACCTCAACCCATGAATAAAAACAATGTTCAATCTTTAAGTGGGTATGATAATTGATGAACTTGGTTCCAATGTGATGACAAAATATGTAATGACATATTATTGATGTGTTTTAGAGCATCAATATAAAAGTTTAATGTTTAATTTGAAACTTGGTTCCAACCAATCACACTGCTTAAATCCAATGCCCACAACATGCTCGACAATTGGTAAACTGGCATGTTTGTTGGATAACAAACTCAAATATTCCTTCGTCTGCTCATAAAATTTACTTGTATGGACTAGACTGTGGTCTACATAATAGATTCAGGGTTTACTCCACAGCTTGCATCTTATTCAGAAAGATCTGGTGAGAGTACAAGTGCTCTTATAATAGACTCACATTCATTTTTCTTGAAGAGAAACAAATGTCCCGCATGAGGAAGCTCGTGATAAAGAATCCATGGTAATTTTTGAGAGATGTAACGGTTCAGTGTGTAGGGAATGATCCTATCTTCAAAGCCTTGCCATATGTGGACTGAACCATTATCATCAAAGAAAGGATTTTCTATCTCTGTGGGGCCAAATTCCCACTTTCCAAAAGCACTCATTATGTCTCGGTGTAATGATTCATATTCACCTTGCTGAGTTATCTTCTCCTGCATGTCAAGACACAAAAACTGATAAACTAAACCTGTGCATCATGCATGAACGAATGTTTACATGTTGTTTTCTTTGTGAATATGAATGTCAAGATGAAGTGACAGATGAAAAATGCAGCAACTACCTGACCAGTGTTTGGGAGTTCTGACAAGGTCCTCACTATTTCTATATCATCAGGAGACAACATGTTTGTTAAGGTCAATGAAGGAAACCATTTTTGTGTCATCCACCAGTGGAACAACCAAGGGGCGTAATGTGCGACTCGAAAAGTCCATTGGTCTGACCGAGGTAGCATCTGAAATGCCTCTCTCAAAAGATGATCAGGAAAAGAAGGCCACCAATAGCTTATAAATGGAGCCACCAAAGCTGCTCCTAATAATCTGCCAAAGGATTTCTTGTTATATGTATAAAGATCCTTTGTTACATCTTGATAGTGTAAAAATCATTTATCCAAGAATGGAAAACATCAATACAACTACTTAACATGCCTGTGTGGAATGTATTTTAGGCAGCTCCAAACAGGGTAACCTCCCATTGACATTCCTATTATATAAAACTTATCACCAATCTCCAGTTTATCAGCCAGTTCTTGAATATCATAAGCTTCACTCTTCACAGAACGTGATGAATGTGGGTCACTTTCACCATAACCAGCCCTGTCGAAGTGGAGGAAATATATCCCAAGCTCCTCAATAAGTTCCTGCATACAACCAAACTCAATCATTTTTGTAGTATATAAAAATCTCACTTTATTATCTTAGGATTAAGTTATACTTAAAGTCCAAACATGTAACGTATAAAGGAAAAGCAAGTAAGCAGTTGAAACATACTTGAGAAACTGGTAAAGTTGTGTCTTTGAAACTGTTATATCCATGAATGACAATGATCTTGTACCTAGCTTCTTCCTTAGGAACACCAAATTCTCGGTAGGCCAAATTCCTCCCATCACCGAGCTTCACTCTGGGTGAAGTAACTTGAGGACCACCAATGGATCCACAGATTTTAGGAACTGGGGGTTTTATGGCCTGATAAACCAACCCAATGAGAATCACCACCAGTGCCACTGCTATTGGAATCACCATTGCTTCAAAAGAGACTGCAACATCAACCTTATTATTCACGACTTTCATAACAATTTTAAAATGTGAAGAAACAAAAAGCAAACTCGTGCTTCTTCTTTGCTTCCAATAACACAATCAATCAGTTAATCAATAGCATTCTCCAAGAACAGTAAAGGAATAGAAAACAGAACCAGAGCATCCAGAAACAAAACATCTCTGCAAATAATTAATCATTACTACCAAGTTTATTTCATAAGAACCAGTTTAAATGCAAATAATTTCTAATTGATTAACAGTATATAAAAACTGATCTTACCAACTTTTCAAGCTACCGAATTGCTCTACCTCTGATTACTGAAATATAATCCGGTTGGAAACAGAGAGAAGGGTATTTATTATTAGAGGAGTGATAAGAATGCATGCAGTTTTCTATAACTTAACTATTTTCAATACAATTTATTTACTGGTTAAAATTTATTAAAAATAACGAAAAAAGTTGTGGTTTTTAATCTGTTGAGAATTAACATGTATAAACGAACGACTCTTGCAACAATTTTTATATTTTTAAGAATATAGACATTGGGATTCCTTGATTCAGATAAAATGACATACATCATGTGCCGCAGAAGCAGAAGCAGAGCAGTGGGTAATGCAATGCAGAGGGATGATGGTCCCTCTCATATACGTCAAAAAAGAATTACGTGGAAAAAACGTTATCTTCACTTCCCAAACACGCCCTAAGAAATAATTTCATATACCCAAAATATAATTAATCCGTGATTTATTACTATTTCTCTTATTCTACTAAATACGAAATAAATAAATAAAAGTTTCAAAATAGTAATAAAAATTCTAAAAAACGCTTCCAGAAATTCAGAAAACATTAACTCACTTGGACATCTTAAAAACATGAGTCCAAACTCCTAAACAACGGTTCCTCTCTTCACAACATAAGCACGTGAAGGAGTAACATTTACGCGGTCACAAGACTGCCACGTGGCAAGCAATTAGCCTTGTTTCAGAATATTATCATTAACTAATTAACAGAGATTAAATAGGAGAGCTGGAAAGGAAAGCAGATGAAGTGAAAAACGAAGATTGAACAGAAAATTGATCTGACAGATGGTGGAATAAGGTTTGAAACAAAAGGGGAATAAGAAAGTAAAAAATATAAAATGCATGGAAGAAAGAAAAAGAAAAAAGGAAAGAAGAGACTCACCTGCAGAAAATGAAGTGTTGATTTTATGAATCTGCAAAAGATGTCTGTTTCTTCAGTTTCTTCTATTTCTTTATAGTGCCATGTCTTCTTCAACCAAAACTCACTCATAAAGGGCTCAACAGCTATG